TCTTCTGCTTATTATTTGCAATTATTAGCTGCTTTGATTCAGATACGGTAGTAGCTTGCTTTAAATGATTTGAAGAGCAGCACAGTACATCTGGCAGAAATTAGCTTTGTGGATAGTTCCTATTAATCTGCATCTTCAGAAAGGATACTGGGACACTGCTAAAACTATACATGTGTCAGAATTTTCCTTTGCAGCCTGAGATACTGTGCACACCTGTCGTGGTGTTAGACTCTAAAGTTCTGCACTGCCTTTTCCTGTATCATCTCCTCCGTTCCTGTGACAGAACATGGCAGGATAGAAACCTAGATGGGGGAGTAAGAGTTAAGAGTAAAATGGTGGAGGGGAAAAATGGTGTTGTTAAGCTTGGATCAGGTCTAAGGGTGACTGCACAAACACTTGTGCCATTCTGAGTTAGGGAGGAGGTAAGTGGGTGTGTGTACCCATGAGCAGGTGTCAGGTTTATGCTGACCAAATATGTAGAACTGACTTCACTGGTCTGTGGTGAAACCCCTAATTTACATTCAGAATTATTTAAAATACATATGCAGAAAATTGTGTAGAAGTATTCATAACTGCTAGTTTTAGTAGACTTTTCTGTATCTTATACTTTAACTCTTTATACACTGACAATAAATAAATATATAGGTATGGGTGTTTCTTTGAGAAATCAGAAATACAGAAGGATGTGACTTTCTCTGTTTCCTCTCTGTCTCTTTTGGGTTTTGGCTTCATGCCTTCACTTTGCACCCAAAGCGTGCACTAACAATTTTTAGGATTTGTCTGATGCAAACCCATAGCTTTTTCTGGTTTGCTTTTTTTGTTCAGTTTGAGAGGTGCTTCTTGAGAATTAAAGACACTATAGGTTTTCCCAAATCTAGTTCATAAACATGACTGAGCAATATGCATTTATTTTGTAGGTCAGAAGCCAGTTTTAACAGATGTTCAGGCAGAATTGGACAGAATTTCACGAAAACCTGAAATGGTATCTCCTACAACACCTACATCTACAGAAGGTGAAGCATCTTGAAGACACCAAATAAAACCAATTGTTCAGTTTTCTGGGATAATTAAAACTTGCCTCTGCCTCTTCCTTCAGTGACTGGAACTAAAGAACTGAATTATCTTTCAGAACACAGTTGATGTCTGTCTTTCTTTCATATGTGTTGCCCAACTTCACAAAAGGGAGCTGTACAGATGGAAAATGGTTATCACATCATGTAGGAGTACTGTTCACAGTGAAAGAATAGTAAATTAATTTTTTCTGGGTTTTGTTGAAAAGTTGGTATAATTCTGTAAAATTGCAAGTATGTCCACTTAAGTGATAGGGGTTGCTTAGAGCAGGAAAACTGAAACACACCACAGGCACTTAATTTATATTGATTTCCCAACCTGTTAGGCAAGTTTAATACCATCTTAAGTAGATAAACCTCTACAGGAGAGAAAAACTACTAGTTTTTGGAAGAGAAAATTAATTGCACAAAACTATAACAACAACAAACTGATTACACTTGAATGCTTCATTTGGAGTATGGTTAAAAAAAATAATCTGTTTGATCTCCTCTGAGATTTACACTGCATTCAAAAACCCATGCAAAAATTCATTCCAGATATAAGACTAAATTACTGGCCAGGTTTTTTTGTTTCTTCTTTGATTAATTTCAGACACTGAATAAAAGATATATAAAGAAAAAGCAGAGGTTCAATGTACAGACTATCAGTATCTGGATTTGTCTATATATATATGGCTCAGCCTTAATGTCCCCCACTATGTTTCCCACATTAGTTACGGTTTAAAATTGGTCATCAAAACTGTAATCAGTTAATAAAGTATTCTCTGCATTCAAATTTAAATAACTTTAATTGAAGCCATGGTGTTGTTCTTTGTTTACAGTTAAATCTAAGGATGTGGTGTAAAATGTCTTAAACCATGCTTTTATATTTTACCTCTCAGTGAATAATATCGCTGGTAGATATTTAAACTTCCTTAAAACATTGTTTCTGGAAGGAAGTGGAGAAGTCTGCAGTGTTTGTTCCTAGTAAAACTAGCTTATCTGACGGGTGGTTTCTGCTGTATTGTTTTAAAAGTTACACTAAAAGTTTTACTAGTTACACTAAGGATCCTGCTGATGACTCCAGTATATTGTCTAAGAAGGTTAGGACTTTACTTAAGCTTGGAGTACACAAATGTGGAGTATCACTTTACTGTTCTGTGTAAAGTTTGTGGTTGCTTTCTACTGACAGCCACAGAATAGGAGGCGTAAAAAGTATATCCCACTCAAATGATTGCCAAGAGAACTCTTTAATGAGTTCGGGTTTTCTAGTTTTTTAAACCAACAAGTTAATTTCTCTCATTGCTTAGAAAACTTCTGAAACACTGAAGGTGAGGGGGTAAATCTTCTTTGTTTTGAACATGGTGGTACTATTCTCCAATTCCTGCATTCTTTAGTGGTTCTAGTGAATTCCCTCCATATTTTCAAAATAACTAAATTTACTTAACAACATACATTTTTGTTGTGCGTTGAACTCCCTGAAGTTAAGCATACTTGTTAAAATTGACTCGGAATATTGAACTGTGGACTGACAAGTTTCAGTAGAGATTCTTAACTGTGGATCAATTGTTCAAACTGGAGTCCTTACAATTTTGCTTATGGCAGGGGATTCAGTAAAGGTGGCACATGGGGAAATGCATGACCTGCTGATGAACGACTGTATAGAATAAATTATGTCTTGAAGAAAAAAAAAATTAAGCTTTCAATCATGGATGCACGGCATGCATCAGTATCAGAACGGTTCTCTAGATTCCGTATGTAAACCTCTTGAAACAGGCTTTGAAACGTGCTTGAGAGAATGGGTCCTGCTCGTGTCATCACCAGTACACTTCCTGGCACAACTGCAGCGGTATGTGGTGGTAGGGTGAAACTTTGGATTTTAGAGCAATATCTTAAATGAGTTGGTACTGCCCAGGTTTTTGAAAGAAAACTTTAGCTCCTGCAGTCTTTTAGTTCGTTTTGAGCATCTGTCAAAGTACGACACCCTTGTTGAAGCTGGCAAACTAGACATGTAATATATTAAGAGTTACTGCACTAGGTGCCCTTTTTTGTGGAGGCTGAGACAGGGGAAAACCTTACAAATGACTCATTATAATTTCACTTCTTAAAACAAAGTTGGCAAAATATCACTTCTGCATATTTAAAGCTTCTAAATGTATTTCTTCCCTAAACCTTGATAGCTCTTTGGGTTTGTTTTTTTAACTATTTACAAATTATTATTTACAAAAAGGCTGTCTCCCCGCTGTGCCTTTTCATTCTGTAAGACTGAAGTAACTTGCTTCCCTCCCTAAAGTTCAAATTGTCTGTAACGCTGCTGTCACTATCTATCTACAGCCTGCTCGTGCTGTTTGGGGGGAAAAAAAAAAAGTACTTCAAGGTATCTTTACCACAAAAGGAAAACTTCTAACATCATTACTGTTAGACTTGATGATCTTAAAGGTCTTTTCCAACCTAAACAATACTATGATTCTATCTGAGAATGTGTTTCTGTGTAACTTGATGGCTTTGGCTTCTTGTTTCCCTCTGATGAGACCGTGACTACTGGGCTGGTTGCTTTGTCAGCTGGAGTTGCAATTCTCCCGCCATGGGAGTGGACAATTAAGGTGGGATTTACCAGAACTGTCATGCAAAATGAGTCTCTGTGACAGAAGGCCCTTTTCATAAAATGTACTGCCAGTGAATCCTCCCCTTCCTTCGCCATCAAGTCAGACACCAAAACAAAGAAAGAAATTGGGTAAAACAATTAAGCTGATTTGGCAGTGATACTTCTGCATAATCCTTTATTGTGCTTTCACGCCCTAAGCTGTAGATGGGTTAGATTTGCAATGATCCCAATTTTAAAAACAGTATCAGCATGAGTAACTTTACTTTTGCTTCTAATTGCTCTTGTGCGCCTTTAATACTTTAGTGTCATTTGGTACCAAGTTTCATTCTAGCATACAAGATGCAGAAAGCAAAGAGGTAACGAGAACTATAGGGGCTGATTTTTTTTATAAAGAACAATTAATACTTTTTAAATGGTTTGCAGTATGAATACTGCAAGAACACTACAAAATAAGTAAACCAAATGAATGCCTTTGGACTTTCAGGGCTAGTTCTGTATAGACAAGGAGCTGATTAGCTTCAAACTAAACTGTGTTGGGGGAATTTTACAAATCTTCTCTTCCTCCTTCTCTCTACGGTGTTCCTACGTCAGTTCTTTAAGTATAATGGTTGTAATAAAGCTGTTCTGCAGATTTTAAGCTTGAAAATTTTGAGTAAATGGCTACTTTATTTCCAGACAGTTCCTATTTTTCATCTGAAAATGGCAGTCTCTGAAATGTGCATGTGAGTTGTAGGTTATATGGACTAGCTACCATACTACACTAACTTTAAGTTTCTAGTGATACATCTGAAGTGCGAGTACCAGCCTGTGGGGCTGCAGCCTCTTCTTGGGGAGCAAACTTAATTTGCAGTAGGACACCTGCAGCTGCAGAACTGTTGCCTATTGTGTACCTCATGGTTTTATGCTTCCCTGTGCCGTGTAGACGCACGCAGAAAACCACCGACGAGTTGGCCTAACCCAAATTTGGGAAATGTGGGGAGTTGAGGGTTTGTTATTTTGTGGTTTGTTTTTTTTTTTCCTCTTGTGCCATAAGGGATACTCAGAAATTGCAGAATTAGCATTTTTAACAGCTTCTTCAGCTGTTTAAAAATCACACATTTTAGCATGTTAATATGGTGATTGGGGGTTGTGAAGTTCAGTTGCAATACTGAGCCCAAAGATAGAACCTCAAGAGCTGGAGATGGAACACATCGAAGTCTTTTCTGAGCTCTTTGTCACAGTACTTGGTATATCCCATTTTCTAGCTAGTCATCCTGTATTTATTTCATTTAATACACGGGCCTAGAGGCATGAACAAAAGCTGTGAGTTGCCTGTGTGGGAACACCAGAACCAAGAACAGGGAGAGAGCTGTGCCTCCAACTGGCTGACTTCAGTGGAGCTCCTCAAACTGTGCAGTAGCAATGAACCTCACCACCCTTCAAATGAAACCGAGTCCGGCTCCTTCAGTGGTTTTGGCTTTTAAGCTGCTTTCCCATTCCTCTAGTTCCTTCTCCTTCACCCTCTGAGAAGAAAAGCAAAAGCCCCACAACTGCATATATGAACATGGGAAAAGGAGAATGTTCATGAGAGACAAGTCAGATCAGTGCAGCTCTGCTGCTAATTCTGAGTGTGAGGGATTTAGGCTTTAGTGTCATACTGTAACGCAGCACAAAGCTGGGGCCAAAGAGCCACTGGGGCTTCGCTTTATGAAAGCAGAGGTGCAGCCCTGGCCTGTATCCACTGTATTCCAGTGGCTGGGGGTTTCTCCACTGATTTAAGGAGCTCCCGTAGCAGCCCTGCCCTGTATCCACTGTATTCCAGTGGCTGGTGTTTACTCAACTGCTTCAAGGAGCTCCAGTCACACTTGCGTAAATTAATTCAACAGCACTGGCAAGGATGGTAACTGTGCCATATAGCTATAGTGTGTGCACTGTAATCTCCCCTAATGAGGTGGCTTTCTCAACTTAATTGGTATTGCTTTTTGGTCGCTATGGTGGGTAGCTTTGGAGAAGATGTAATGAGGGAGAGAACTAGGTCACTCATCACTAATCTGCTTCCACCCATCTCCCACTCTCTGCCTGGCTGACTGGAGGTGTTATTGTAGAGCAGCATCTGACTCCAGGGCTGCTTCTCTACCACCACGTCCTGCCTTTAGCTCTGGTTCTGCCATTCCAGAAGAGTCCATGGGGGAGTAAGAAAGACTTCTCTTTTTTGAAAACTCTGGTGTAGCACGTAAACAGAAGAAAGTGAATAGGTGGACATCTGGAATGGGATTTCCATTACATCACAGCCAGTTCATTTCAGTTATTTGCATTAAACAGGCTTGTTATTTATTGTAACTGTTGTTTTGATTTGTGTTCCCTCTTTAAAGGAAAGATACTGTACTTGACAGTTTTGATGAGAAGAGTAAAGAACACCTGCAGTTTGTGTGAACAGCAGCATTTGTATGTTTTAACATAATACCTGAAGTTATTTTTAAGCTATCAGGTCCTATGCTGTTGTCCAGTTTTCATTCCTTCTTCGTCACATAAGCGTACAGTTCCTGTAGCTTTGCTGTTGTTTTGCTTTTCATGCACTTCCTTACGAATAAATAAATAAAGAAGTGGCCTAAATAAGCTAGGCTTTAAATGGCAAGCTAGCCTTTATAATTCATGCATCATTGATATGTATTTCCTGGAGAAGACCTGAACAGGAAAAACAACTCTCAAAGACAGCAGTAACTCGAAAAAGGTTGTCATATATTTTATCTTTTGCAAGCTTGTCTTGTGTTTCTGTGACTCCCTGAAAAGCAATCTCTCCTCAAGACAGTTGTCTTCAATACTAACATCTGCGTTCATAATCTAGCAATGCTGCATTAAGACATTGGTAAAGGTTCAAAAGAGAACAACTACAAAATAGCCTTAGATGCTACCGAACACTTTAAAAGGGGAACTAACAATTGCTTCTACCTCCATTAAGTCCTGTCTCCCTCAGTACTGAGCATAGCCTAATCACACACTTTGTGGCTTTGGACTTAGCCAGTTCTGAGATATGAAGGAAGAAACCAAAACAAAAAGGGAATTTCCTTCAGAAGAGAGATGCCAGCCTCCATAATGTAGTTTTATTTATAATGTACTGATGTAAAAAAGCAGTAATAAAGGCACTGGGGACTCATAAGTGCTAACAGTATATGACTACACCTACCTGCTCAGGCCTGCAGTCTGGGATGCTGCCAGCAGAGCGAC